AGGAGGAGGAGGAGGAGGAGGAGGACGTCTCGGGCGACAGGGGCCTCCGGGGTCCCAAGACCGCGGGTGACGGACCGTGCGGTGAGGTCTTAGGGGATTTCGAGGTCACCGCACGGTCCGTCACCGCACCGTGTCGGAACTCCAAATCCCTCGGGGGCCCTGGTGCGGTCTGCCGGCGGTGGCTACAGCGGGCCCCCATGCCAAGCAACGCCCTGCTCGTCTCGCCTCCAGGGTGCCCGAAATCTCCGAAATGACACCAGAGCCAAAGCCCCAATCGGTGGATGGTGTGAAGTGGGATCGATGGAGAGATCGATAAGGAGATCGACCGGGAACCCGGGAACCCGGAACTCGGAACCCACCGAAATCGGCCCGGAACCAGTGACCTGGAACCCGGGAACCCGGAATTGGGAACCAGGGAACCCAGCCGGCCACCAACATCGGCAGGAAATGTTTGCCAAATCTTTCAATTTCCGCTAGGACGCCTTCAGTGCAAGCATTGATTGGGGAATCTCCGGAAACTCCGAAAGTACATGGTAGTGAAACTGTTCGAACGTAAATCGGTACCTTGCAACGCGTTAAACTCGCGAGAGGGAGTCAGGGTGAGGATGGAGAGGAGTGCTTTTACCTGGCTGCCGCAGGCGGGCAGCGCCAAAGTAGTACAAGGAGCCCAGCAGGGCTCCCGGTGGAGGCTCTGTGCCTTCGGGCGGTTGCAGACAGGTGGCCCCGCACATGGAAGTACAGTGGGGGCTAATGCTAAGAAACGCCCTGCTCGCCTCCACGGGGCCCTGGGTTTCTTGGGTTTCGATGGCGACGTTCCCACACCGAAGATCGAGGGACGTCCCGGGGGTCCCAGGGTTGGGTTTCTTGTGGACGCTTGCTTGTGGTCGGGCCCCCACTGTCTTGCCGACTTCAGGTCGATGCTGCCCCCTCCCCCCCCAGAGCCGGCCCCCTCGCGAAGGCGCTACGCTGGAAGTTGGTTCTGGGGAGCCGGTTGGAAACCTTCGGGTCGTTTTACAGGGTCTTGCGCCTGGGGGGGGAGTGTTCGGGCAGCTCTGGAGGGTCTCGGAGCTGGTTGGCGGGCGTCTTGGGGCTGCCTTCAGCTGGTCCTGGGCTGTCTTGGAGCCGCGCTGGACCGGAGACATCTTGGGGCGGCCTTGGACCAGTGTTTTTTGGTGGGGGAGGGGGTTCTGGTTGCTTTCATCGTCTCTCTGGGCTTCTCGGAGCGTCTTGCAGCCTTCAAGGGCGAAGATCTAGCTGGCTGGTCCGCCGCTTGGTCTGCCGGCTAGCTTGTCGGCGGGTGTCTGGCTTCGGTCGGTCGGTCGACTGGTCGGTCGGTATTCGCGGAAGGCATTTGTTTATAGCCACCTTGCCACGGCCATCTTGGGCCCGAAGATGGTGAGGCTCTTGCCACGACCTCCTGGTCTTGGCCAGGAGGTCGTGTACACCGTACTATGACAGGCCTACAACCACGAAGTACAGTTAAATTAACCGAGCACGTTTGGCAGAGTTGGATGGGCAAATCAATTTGGTGAGATGCGAGATGCAGTCGTCTACTGCAGCTGTCTCGGCCGTGAAAGAAGACACTGGCGAAGCGAAAAGCACTCCCCGGAAGGCGACTGGGAAGATATGTCGACGACCGTCCCTGATGACGACAGCTTCGATGACCCATGCTGCTGCTGAGCAGGAGTCGCGGCGCGTGCCGCCATCTGAATAGCATATGAAATTGGCACCGTCAAAAGAAAACCGTGGTATGGCAGGAGACACCTCTTTGAGCCGTCTGCGTTTTGCGTGCAGTATAGGCCGGCCAAGTGACCATTCGATGGGTGCTCCGCCCGATCGATCCATTGATTGATGGCGGCGTAGCCCGCGGCCCGCGAGCGCCGCGCCCGCCGAGAGCGGCCGATCCGAGGGTGGTTGGCTCGGTCGGTCGGCTGGTCGGCAAGCACAGTGGAAACCCATGCCAAAGAGACGCCCGGCTCGCCTCCAGGTGATCGTTCTCTTCTTCCCCGCCTTGCCGATCGGCGCGGGCCCTCGCCCCCCCCTCCCCCTTCCATGGAGTAGATCTTTGCTGTTTTTGGCGCCTGTTTCGAGCAGGTGGAGCCCTACCCCATAGGACGCACTGCTGCAAACAGTCGCACTAAGCAGAGGTCCAGAGCCAGACCCCCCCCCCTCCCCCACTTTCCGCCCAATGTCGAAACGCCGAATAAGAAAACGCTCACCACGGTGCCCTGGGTTTCTTGGGTTCCGATGGTCTTCCTATGGAAAGCGTGACATTCCCACACCAAGTCATCAATGGACATCCTGGGGTCTCAGGGTTGGGTGTCTCGTGGCCAAGGGCGGACCGAGTAGGCAAGGATGAAAGGATACCCTTTGAAAGATTGCCCATCCTTGTTGTGTGGGTTCAATGTAGGAGCTCGACCACAAGAAGCCTTCACGAGAAACCCAACCCTGAGACCCCAGGACGTCCATCGATTTTTGGCGTGAGAACGTCACGTTGTCCCATCGCAGAACCATGGGAACCCAAGAAACCCAGGGCATCCTGGAGGCAAGCCGAGTGTTTCTTGGCATAGGTTTCTTCTGCATCTTCGCGCCCATTGCGCTGGACCTCCACTGGACTTCTGCGGACTTTCCTTGGATCTGCGCTGGACCCCTGCGGCGGCGCCGCCGAGGGGCTTCCAGCGCAGATCCAAGAGAAGTCCACGTGGAGCTCCGAAAGGTTCCCAGACCTCCGACGTCATGTTTTTTCATCACGTGGACCCCGAGGAGTCTGGACTCCTTCCCGGGGACCCGCTTCTCATCCCGAGTAGTCTGCTGACGGTCCCGAGGCCCGGTAAGGGCCCCCGGGAACCCCAAAACCAGGGCGAGACCCTCCGTCGTGGTCTTCTCCACGATGCCAGGGGGGGCGTCCGGGTCGATGGCCCTCTCGACCGATCGACCGAGGGCGGCGGCGCGGCCCGCGCGCCCGCCTGCGCCCGCGCGCGCGCCCGCGCGCGCGCGAGGCGATGGACCTCGCGAGCGGCGCGCTCGCCGAGGGCGGCCTGCGGAAGTGGCCGCCGAGGCTGCGGCTGCGCGACGAGGCGCGGCCCGAGGGCGGCGGGGGCCCCCCGCGCGGCCTCGCTTTTGCCCCTGGGCGCGCCGCCGTGCCGCCGCGCTCGCGCGACCGGGCTCCGCTCGAGTCGGGCGTGTCCCTCTGCAGGGGGGATGTTCAAAGACAGAAGGAACAATCGCCTGGGGACGATTTTTGCTCGAGCACTCTTGGCAAACGTTTGGGCATTTTTTGTTTCTTATCATTTTATGTTTATTGTTATTTTTCCTCCAAGATCCGCCTGTGGGGGGACAGGCCCGACCTAAAGCTCCGCCCGCCTTCGGAAACCGGAACATCTCCGAGGCGGGGATTTATCCGTATAGCGGGGGCCCCTGCCAAGAAACGCCCTGCTCGCCTCCAGGGTGCCCTGGGTTTCTGGGGTTTCGATGGTTCTGCGATGGAGAGCGTGACATTCCCAGACCAAAAGTCGATGGACGTCCTGGGGTCTCAGGGTCGGGTTTCTTGAGGAAGGCTCCTTGTGGTCGGGCCTCCACGGTAGGAGGGGAGCCGAGGGGCGGCCAGCAGCGCATACGCTCTCTCTTTCCCCCTACCGCGGCCGAGTGGCGTCACTTCCAGTGGGGGCTGGAGCGGGCAGCACCTGTGAGGGCAGCACCGGCCAGACTCGGGTCACAGGGTTTGGCTCCTCGTGGGAGGCTTCTCGTGGTCGGGCTCGCCCGACTGGGCTCCGCCCGCCCTCGGAAGCTGGAGCGTGTTCGAGGCGGGAATCTATCCATGGCCACCGCCTGGGGAGTCGATCCTCGCAGACCTTCGCAGGCGGTGGACATGGATACATTCGGGCCCCCAGGGGCATATATACATATATATATATATATATTTATGGTCGACCCCCCCGCGTCAAAGACCACTGTGCGGTGGGGGGGTAGGCCGAGCATCTGCTGAACGATCCATTCCATCCTGCACCACGTGGTGGACCACTCCACCTCCACCGTGTCGTGCCAGTGCGGGCGGTCGGGGGACGTGAGTGCCAAGGTGCACACGCGGTCGCGGTCCTCGTGGTGGACGCATTCCGCCGCCACTTCGAGGCACATGTACTCGCGGACAAGCATGTCGCCTACTGCGGGGTCCTCCGACGTCCACAGCGGGCCCGCGAAGCCTGGCGCCAGGAAGGGGACCCCAGTCTTCTGAAACTGGAAGAAGTTGGGCCAGATGCACACAGTGAATTTGTCCGAAGTTGGGCGATTGGGTTTCAATGAAAAACAAATAGCACCACCCGTGTAAACGCGGCAAAACCAACGCCAGGTTCCCACCGCCCCTGTCCTCGCCCGCGGCCAAGCGCTGAGACTGCGAAAACCCGATCCTGCGCCACGCTGAGTCGGGCGGAATGGGGCTGCCAGGCGCGACGTTCTGGACGAAGGCGTACTCGAAAGCCATGGCTGTCGAGCGGGAATGCCAGATCACTGGGCGGGCGGGCCAGATGCCAGATCACTCCGAAGGGGCCAGAGCACTCGCGGCGACGGAGGGCGGGGGGGGGGGCGAGCGGGCGGCCGCTGGGAAGTCTGGCGACGACGACGATGCGACGACGACGGCAACGACTAGCCCTCATCACATCCACAATGGGAAGGCCGAGTCGCGTCTGTACGTGCGGCACGACGCACGGCAGGCAAGGCGCGCTTACGCAGTGAACAAGACAAGTGCATCTGCGCGCGCCATGGCCGACGTGAATAACCGCGCGCTCTTGCACGCAGCTTGATACATTGCAGCGGGTGTGCCATCTCATATGAATCAGCGGCGGCGGGCGGTCGGCGGCCGCGCCCTCCCCCCGCGCGGCGCAGCGCGCCGGCGGCGCCGCCGCGTGCCCGACGGCGTCGCCGCCCTGGGCGCGGCGTCGAAGTGTTCTCCTGGGCGCCGACGCTGATGCTACCCCCCTGGTGAATGATCCCACCCCCACCTCCGCCCTCAACTTCGCAATCACATTATCGCGTGCATCGGCGGCGACAATCGCGACGGCAACGCCGCGGTCACTGCGCAGTCGGCAATGCTGAGCCACAGTCAGAAAGGTTAATAACGATTCACGATGAGGACGCAGGCGCCTCGGCCGACCAGGTTGGCATTTTCGAGGATGCAACGCCCGAGTGGTGCAAGGCGAAGACGAAGGATGCAAGGGTACCCGTGGATAGCTGTTCATCCTTATTGCGTGCTTTGACTGCGACCTTGAACCGCGACGGCGACTCTGACGACCGAGCCGATGTTGTTTTGCGCTTGCGGGAAATAATGTGCGTTCATAGTTGCGGCGCGCGCTGGGTGCTTACGCCCGCCCGACGCGCGCCGCGGTCAATGGAAAATCAAGCATCGTCCTTTGTCGTAGAAGTCGACTATGCCGTATCAAGGCGATTGAGAGTCCATTGGCACCATTCTTCCCGTTCTTGTTCGCTGGCATTTGCCCACCATGCCAGGCGCGCCTGGTGTCTCTTGGACTTGATGTGCTCGCCCGTGGCCTTCAGATTGCAAAGGCAGCAGTGGTCGCCCTTGAAGACGAGGTCGTGGCATGAAGGCATGGTGTTCACACTGATGGCTTCCATCGTGCTCGAGGAAGGCGCTGGCGCCGCGACGCTCCAAGGGTCTTCCACAATGGTGGTCTGAGCCTGGAACGCAATGAACGGCTGGTCGGGCTTTTCCCATTGGGTTTTCCCAGTCGCGTTGCACACGTAGTAGGGCATCTTCCTCTTGTTTGGCGCGTCATTGTACATGTACTCCACCCATGTGATTGGCGGAGGAGCAGGCGGAAAGCTAGGCGGCTCTGAGATCCATGGATCCGACTGCGTGGCGGGGGCGGCCATCGGCGTCGGAACGTCTCGGCGCGGCGCCAGATTCCTGATAACTGACATCACGTTCTCAGGTAAGCTTCTGTGAACGGGCTCAGTGACCTGGAATCCCCATCCGCGCACAACGTGCAGCTCGAGCACGCGGACTTGCTCTGCACCGTAGCACGCCTGCCACCAGGTTGTCTTCAGCGGCCTGCTCTGCCCAACCGCCTCAACTTGGAAGAGAAAGCGGGTGTATGGGGGTCTCGTCGTTCGGGAACTCAATCATCTTGCACGCCGTGGAGTACTCCGACAAGCCCCACTTCGGCGCCACGTAGACCCCCTGCGTGGTAAACTCGTGCACCTGGCGGTCGTGGCTCTCACGAAAGCCTTCCTGAAGGATTGGTAGGACCGCACCCACCCACGTTCCGTGGTAGCACACTTTCCCGTCACCGCTCGCCTCGGCGTACTTCAACGTGATCTTCTCTGCTGGGGCGCCCTTCTCGTTCGTGATGCCCTCTCTGTGCACGCTGGATGGCTTTGGCAGCGCGTCGAGGAATGCTCCGAGCATGTCAGGGACGGCAAGGTCCCAGCCCTGGCACCTCTTCTCCCACGGGCAGCATTTCTCTGCATGCCAGCGCTGAGCCATCGCACCTGTGAGCCGCGGTGAATGGCCCCGCGAGCCCCGAGCCCCCTAGCAGTGGAGAAGAAACGATTCTGAGCCAATGGCTACGGATGCAAGCTTTGCCGATTTGCCTGGGTATTTCGCGCGTGCAATGTTATGCGTGTTAACACTGTTGCGCGCTAGTGGTAGGTACGACATGGCCGCTGTCTCAGCCGTCGTTGCCTCCTGGGTCCCCTCCTGGGTCCCCTCCTGGGTCCCCTCCTGGGTCCCCTCCTGGGTCCCCTCCTGGGCCCCCTCCTGGGTCCCCTCCTGGGTCCCCTCCTGGGCCCCCTCCTGGGTCCCCTCCTGGGTCCCCTCCTGGGTCCCCTCCTGGGCCCCCTCCTGGGTCCCCTCCTGGGTCCCCTCCTGGGTCCCCTTCCAGTGTCCCCCGCGCCTGGGTCCCCTCCTGGGCCCCCTCCTGGGTCCCCTTCCTGGGTCCCCTTGCTGGGTCCCTTTCCTGGGCCCCCTGCTGGGTCTTCTCCTGGGTCCCCTTGCTGGGTGCCTCTCCTGGGTCCCCCTCCTGGGTCCCCCTGCTGGGTCCCCTCCTGGGTCCCCTCCTGGGTCCCTTTCCTGGGTCCCGCTCCTGGGTCTACTCCTGGGCCCTCTCCTGGATCCCCTTTGCTGGGTCCCCTTGCTGGGTCCCTCTCCTGGGTCCCCTGCTAGGTCTTTTTCTGGGTCCCCTTGCTGGGTCCCTCTCCTGGGCCCCCTTGCTGGGCCCCCCTCCTGGGCCCCCCTGCTGGGTCCCCTCCTGGGTCCCCTCTTGGGCTCGCTGCTGGGCCCCCTGCCATGACATAAACCTACACATACGGAAACTAATACTTTTTTCTACACTTCGCCTCTCGGGCTTTCCTGCTGTTTTTTTTGTACATTTGAAGCAGCATGCGCCCGCGGCTGGCCCCCCTCATGCCCACCCTTTTTTTCCCCAGGGTCGTCGCCGCGGCTCTTCTCTTGTACGTAAACATAGAAATGCAGAATCTAATACTTTTTTCTGCACTTTGTCATTCGAGCGTTTCTTTCGTTTCTCTCCAGTTGGCTTCGGCCCCATCCGAAACTGAGGCGAGCGAAAAACAAGACGCGCAATGCCCACCCTATGGCAAATTACAGTTTACAACCCTGCAGCGCCCGCTGGCGGCGGTAGTTGAAATCCGCCTGCCTCCACGCCTCAGCGGCGCGCACTTTATCGACCTCCTTCGCTGGGAAAACAATACGGAGGATGGAGGTAATCAAACAGACGAACAAAAGAGGGGGGAAATTTGGGCATCGGTGGTGTCCTCGTTTTTTTCCTATCTGACATCCTTCCCGTCCTCCTCCTCCTCCTGCTCCTCCTCTTCTTCCTCCTTCTCCTGCCTGTTTTGGCCCCGCCGACTGTCCTTGTTCAGCCCCTCCAACTTGATGTTGTACTTTGCGGCCAAATTGGCCGCCTTGAAATGCTTCTGGTTGTTCTTCAAAATAAGCGCCTTGTTCAAGTCAGCGAACTTCGCGTCCTCCTGTTCAATTTCGTTCTGCGTGGGCGGGGTGAAGCGCACCTCCCCTGTGGCCTTGGAGCGCACGACTGTTTTGTTGGTC